GTCCTGTCCTGTCCTGTCCTGTCCTGTCCTGTCCTGTCCTGTCCTGTCCATATCTTTTTCTATATTTCTTTTTCCCTTTCTTATTACTTTTCTGTATTCTTTAGTTCAAAATTGGTACTGTTTTTAATTCTGTTGAAAAACTTCTTCAGTAAAAATAATTTTAAAAATGTTCATACTGCGGTAGGTAGAATTCAAGCTGTTAACTTCCTTTTTGCTGAAACTTTCAGGGGTTACTTAATATTTCCAGTTTTGTGTGGCACACAATTTGCCATAATTTACAAAAAGAAAATTTATTTTAAGGATGTAAAAGATTTACCACTAAGAAAAATATGATTGAAAATTCTATTTTCTCATTTTCAGTCAAGAGTGCAGCACTGTGTGTGTTCTGTTGCCAGTGACCACTCAGTAGGACTTCTAAGTTTACGAGAAAAAAAGTGCATCATGTTAGCTTCCCGGCATCTCTTTCCTATCCAAGTCATAAAGTGGAGACCATCAGATGACTACCTCGTTGTTGGTTGTACAGATGGTTCCGTATACGTGTGGCAAATGGATACTGGTAAGTTATTTACATGTGAAGGACTTGACAAGGAATTTCCTTAATGATGTAGAGAGTGATTCAATACTATCCAGGCTTATATTAAAAAAGGATTATCATTTCTGTGTTATTTTTTCAAAGAAATCTCTTTTCAGAAGTGTCGCTGCCAACTAGCCATGCCTTTCTAATGCAAGATAAGAGAAGGAATTCAGAAGTATTTTTTTCATTTGTCTTAAAACGTATTTTTCATTTAGTCTGCTTTGCTAAATTTAACATGGCAAAAGAAATTTATTCTTAAACTTTAATAACTTTTTTTAAACAATGCAGATAGGCCTTTCTGAATGTTCTTTCGTTCAGCGACTGTTCAAAGTTACAACAGTGCTGAAAAAATGGACTTGTGACCAGTCTTTGAACTTATGACCATTGCAGCACCCCTGCAATCACATGATAAAAATTCAAGCTAGCCTGCATTTACAACTCCCCACCCCAACTGACCTTTATCATCTTCACCTACCTCCCCTCTGCTGGGCTCACCATCCTGGCCATGCATGGGGAATCACTGTGGCGCTGGAACTTCTTGCCATGCTGTGGCTCTGGGGCTGCTTGCACCCTTGCACACCTCCCCTACCTGGTAGCAGACATCCACAGTCCTCCGTCACCTCCCTGGCCACCCATACACCCTTGCACATCCCCCCATGGCACTCATGCCACCCCTCGCCAACTACCCACACACCCTCACACACACTCCCCTAGCCCCTCTGGACTCAGGCTGCACCTCGCCGGCTACCTGCACACCCTCCCCCACCCGACAGCAGCCCCTTACCTGCCTGCCAGCCTGCTTGCAAGCCACCTGGGACTTGCAACTTCTTGTCGGCTTCCCTGCTGACTTTGGTTGTTGGAAGCTGGCAGGAATTTGCAAGGAGGTCCTAGCTTAATGACCTATGTTCCTCGCTTAACAGCAGCAATCGGGATTGCAGGGATTGCTGTCGCTAAGCGATGTGGTCATGTAACATCACACTTTATGACTGCATCGCTTAGAGACAGAAATTCTGGTCCCAATTACCATTGTTAACCAAGGGCTGCCTGTATGCAATTAAGAACTAGGGAACCAGTTTGATGTAGTGGTTAAAGCACCAGGCTGGAAACCGGGAGACCGTGAGTTCTAGTCCCACCTTGGGCACAAAGGCAGCTGGGTGACCTTGGGCCAATCACTCTCTCTCAGGAAGGAGGCAAGCACAAACCATTTCTGAAATCTTGCTGAGAAAACTGCAGGGACTTGCCCACGCAGTTGCCAGGAGTCAACACCGACTCAAAGGAACAAATAAATAAAATTAAGAACTAAGAAGGTACTTTCCAAATAAATGGCTGAACCTATAGTTGCTCAGAAAATCTCTATCAGGTATCCTGCTCTGTTCTGTATGATCAAGTACCTAGTTTTCCAAGTTATTTTTTGAAACATCACCAAAACGGTATTAACGACACAGAGGATGACCTCTGGCAGAAGTGGAATTGGGGTGGCGTGCCCATCTTGGCTTTTCTTGATCTCTCAGCAGCTTTCAGTATCCTCAGTCATGGTATCCTTCTGAACCAGCTGTGAAGATTGGGAATGGATGGCACAACTCCTCCTCCTTTCTCTTGGGCCAATTCTAGTCTGTGTTGATAGGGGAGAAGAGATATAGCCCATGGTATCTCTGTGGTGTCCCACAGGCCTTGATTCTTTGCCCACTCCTATTTAACATCTGCATAAAGCTGCTGGGTAAATCCAGGGTGAGATATCACTATGCTGATGAGACCCAGTTTTACACCTCCACCCCAGGCTGACTAAGTGATGCTGTGGAGATTCTGTCTTAGTATCTGGAGGCTGGTTGGGGAAGAACAGGCTTCAGCTCAACCTGCCAAGACTGAGTGGTTGGATAGGGGCCCCCTGCACCCAGCTTTTTCCATCTGTGGTGTTATACTACCCCATACAGAACTAGTGCACAATTTGGGGGTCCTCCTAGACTCCGGGCTCCTGTTCAAAGAGCAGGTAGCAGTCATGGCCAGGAGGGCTTTTGCACAACTTTGTTTTGTGCACCAGTTGTACCTTTTCCTGGACCGGGAGGCACTTTTCATGACTGCTCATGCTATAGTCACCTCCCAAGTGGATTAGTGCAACACAGTCTATGCGGGGCTGACCTTGAAGACTGCTTTGAAGCTGCACCTGGTCCAGAATGCTTCAGCACGAGCAGTTATGGATGCACCTTGGTATGCCCATGTCACCTTAGCTTTGTGAGCTGCACCGCCTCCCAGTGTGCTTCCAGGTGGAATTTATGGTGCGGTTGTCACCTATAAAGTGCTCCATGGCAAGAGGTTGAGTTATTTTCAGAAACGTCCCTCCTTGGTTGTTTCTGCCCATCCTACTAGATCCAACAGAAGGGGCATGCTCCAGGACCCCTCAATTGAAGGGACTTATAGGACTTATAGAAGCATGTCCTTCCTGTCACAGTGGAATACCATGTCCTTCTAAATGAGATTGGCTGGCAGACAGGAAGTTAGATGGCCCATTGGGAGGTTTTTGTTGATTGTTTACCCTCGACAACCACTATAGGTTTTTACTGCTTGTTAATGTTGTTTTTAAATTGGTTTTATCTGTTGATAGCTGCACACAGTTGCATTTACAAGATGGGTGGCCAGATACATAGACAGCTAGATAGATAGATAGATAGATAGATAGATAGATAGATAGATAGATAGATAGGTAGGTAGGTAGGTAGGTAGGTAGGTAGGTAGGTAGGTAGATAGATAGATAGATAGATAGATAGATAGATAG